GGGAAAGAAAAGGTCCAGGAAATGGGAATTTTGTATGATGATGTAGTGATAATTAGACATTCAGAGAAAGAAGGAGACCCTGCTGTTATCACTGTGAATTGTCCTGACAAGACTGGTCTTGGTTGTGATTTATGTCGTATCATTCTCTTCTTTGGCCTTAGCATTGTTAGAGGAGGTAAGGACCCCAAAGAGAGAAAAGTCTCCTTTTTTAGAGCTTGTCTTCGAGTGTTTTCAGCTCAATATTTTGTTTTCCACACTTTTAGTTTGTGGAAAACAAAGGGGTGTGTGTGTGCTTTTTTAATTCTTTTTTTAGTAGTTTTGTGAAAGAAAATGGGAATTTTTGTTCTGATTTTGGGTGTTTTTGGACTTGTTTTTGATTTGGTGAAGATGTTTCTACGGATGGGAAATGGTGCTACATAGTGTTTTGGGTGGTTGGCAAATCAACAACAAGGTGGGGTTTATTGAAGAAGAGATTAGTAGGGGCTTGCCCTTCTTGTTCTTCAGCATCTGGGATTTCTTATTACAGTGCAGAATTGCAGCCTCCAAGACCACCTGATGTTTTCCTCTTGAAGTTAGCTTGTCATGACAGAAAAGGGCTTTTACATGGTACTGATATTTTCCTGGGTTTTTTTTCCAGCTTTTCTCTATCTGATCCTCCTTGTTCAATGTTTTGATTGTGGAGTTTTCTGCTCATACATGTAATTTTTGTTGCTAAAGTGATCACCAAGGCCGATCTGATTCTTAGTTACCTTTTTATTGCTTCTTGTTCTTCAAAAACCTTAGCTTGTCGTAAGTTTCCAAGATTTGCAATTCATACTCTTTAAATTCAGCAATCACATGTAGCTTGAAGGAATCATGTTCCCTGTAAAAACCTTGCATATACCTTGCAATCGGCATAAAGTTGTCAGATCCCCTTGTGATTTTGATGTTTCAGTGGAGAATTCAGAAATTGGAATGTTTCAAGCTGAATCCTGGAGGTTTGCTTTTGCAGATGTGACCGGGGTTCTTTGTGAGCTTGAACTCACTATAAAAAAAGTGAAGGTATCCACAACACCGGATGGGAGAGTAATGGACCTATTCTTCGTTACAGATACAAGGTTTTGAATTTTCGACGTCTCTACTCAGAACTTTATCATATATTTTCTAGCTTATGCTCCTTGTCTTGCAATAATTGTGCGTTCAGAAGATTTGAGAGGGGTAAAAATAGAAGTTTTCACAGGAGGTGTATCTTCTCATAATGACCATGTTGGCGTACCTTCTTGTAGGTCATTTATTGTATTAGTTCATAGAAAGATGTGAGCAATCAAGATGGACATTTCTATGACTCCCGTTTGCATAGCTATGCAGCTTCTTGAACTTTTGATTAAGTTCTTGTTAAAAGAAATTTTTCTTAATGTCTTTCTTTATCAGAGAGCTCCTGCATACAACTAAGAGAAAGGAGGATACATATGATCACTTAAGAGCTGTCATGGGAAATTCAATGATAAGCTGTGACATAGAAATGGTTGGACCTGAAATTACTGCCTGTTCAGCAGAATCTTCATTTCTTCCAACTGCAATCACAGAAAACATTCTCCCTTTGCAAATGCCAGATGAACTCCCCAGTTCACTAACTTCCACTAGTGTTTCTGTTATAATGGACAACTTGCTGAGTCCAGCTCACACCCTTGTTCAAATTGTGTGCCAAGATCACAAGGGTCTTCTTTACGACATAATGAGGACTCTAAAGGATTACAATATACAGGTAGATTAATTGTATGAGATTCTGAAATTACATTGATGGACATCTCTGCCATGTTTGCTATTCATGCAAGTCAGCTGCCTCATTTTCCAAGTTGGAAGCACCTTTTGCATCACTGTTCTAATGTTTTCAGTGAATCTTTCTGGAGATAAACTAATTACTGCTTGTTTGACCAGATTTCTTATGGACGCTTTTACATAAAACACAGAAGGACCTGTGAGATTGACTTGTTTATCGTGCAAGCTGATGGGAAGAAAATAGTTGATCCTAACAAGCAGAAAGCATTGTCCTCCCGTTTGGAGATGGAACTAGTGCGCCCTCTCCGAGTAGCCGTCGTCAGCCGTGGTCCTGATACAGAGCTGATGGTGGCAAATCCTGTGGAGTTATCCGGCAAGGGCCGACCTCTTGTTTTCCATGACATCACTCTTGCTCTCACGATGCTTGACAGTTGCATTTTCTCGGTACTGAGCTACTTGCTGGCTTGGCAATTCCTGCTTGACATCACTTTGGCCTTTCCCTCTCAACAACTTAAAAGGCATCTTTTCTTTATTCGTATGAGATGATATTTGCCTGATATTTGAACCTGACAAGGCGTTATGGCTGAAACTGTGGGATTGCTTGCGATCATTACTTAAATTTGAGAGATTTGAATTCTGTAAATTAAGTGATTATAGCTATTTTATTTCACTGTAAACGTCATATACCCTGCTTGTCTTTTCAGGCTGAGATCAGGAGGCGCATGATTGGAGATCGGGAATTCGAAGTGTACAGAGTATTACTTGATGAAGGGGAAGGCTTGGCTGTTCCACGAAGAAAAATTGAGGAACAAGTTTGGAAGATGTTAATGGGCTGGGAGCAATGAACAAGTTCAAATATCCTTCCGAACATGGCAGTGGTCTGTTGTGAAGTATACTTATCCCTCTGATGACTAGTATGCAATGTAAATCCTGGGCTATATATCACTGAAAGTTTGAGCTGTTCCACATCAATACTTGCAGCTCCTGTAACACAAACTTCATAGCGTAACATGAGAACTTGGTGGCAGGAGATAAGATGAGTGAAGCTGACATGGTATTTTTACACTTGAAATCATTGCAGACAGACATGTGTAGCTATGGCATGAACATTGTGGCATGGCAGATTCGTTTCCGTTGGTGGATGCATGTGGAGGCTCAGTTCAAAACCATTAGTACCTTGTAGACTGTAGAGCTCCTTTTTGTACATAAAAGCTGTATGTATAACTTGTAGTTTGGCAGTATGCTGTGCCAATGGAAGGAGCTGTAAAGAAACTATCCATGTGAAGCTAATAACACATCAGTTGCACAACAAATTCTTGTATATTAGTCTCCCATGGATGCCCACGGTCAAGATCTCTCTTCCAGCAAAATATTTTACTTTTAGGTTTGTACCTAGCCCAACAATGCGATTTTCTTCTTTGAATCTTTCCTTGCAACTCACTGTCAGCCATGAAAGACTTGTTGCCTGCGAAGACTTGAACTGAATGGAGACTGGTGTAAGGTCATCTCTCTTTCATTTTCTGTGGATACTATTTTCCTAGCTTTATTCATTTGTTTTTGGTTGTCTGCTTCCCCTGGTGCAGAGCTGACAAAACAACCGGTGCCCCATTTGCCTAGGAATGTCCCTGTTCCTGGCATGCTTTTTGGTAAATAAAGTTTATTACATAGAAAATATCATTTGTCACATCAAAGCTGTCCACGCTTTATTTAGATATCTAGCATATAAAAATCTATATTCTAAATATCATAACATCCTAACACATTCGGGACTTGTAGATGTGATGTATAAACATATCAATAAGACCTTTTACTTGGGGAAATTGCAATAAACCTGTAGTCATAGAAATCACAAGCCACATCTTCAAATTCCAAATACTTCACTGTTCAAGGAAGATTTCCTCAGATGCTGTATGATTGTCTGAAGCTGGTGTGATAGATGTTAACACATCAGGTTATTGACGTGGATGTCGTGGATGTCTTTAGTAAGATGTTTTGGGAAGGCCTCAAGTTTTCTTGCGACACTTGCTACTGTGGCCATGGGAGCAATAGCCTTACAGGCCCAGAATTGAAAAATACAGCAGGACAATAAAAAAATAAAAAGAAATATAGCAAGAAGTGAGACCGAACCTTCCTCTCTGGCAATTTTTGTTTATGGGAAGAAAGATGACTGACAGATTGGAGAGCACCAACAAAAAGTAAAACCCCACCATTCTCTGTCCGTACAAATACAGGCTGGTTTGGTTCTTGGCCTGTATCCCAATTTCTCAATTAAGTCCTTGAAATATATACCAATTCTCAATTGAGTTCAGAACTCAGAAGGATAGATTTTGTCAATGGAGTCCCTGCATTTACGAAGAAAATAATTTAACCTGAATCCATAGACACCCATATATACATACGTAAAAACTTTGGACGCTCAACTTTAAAAAACAACTATTAAAAAAGCTTTATTACCTACATTCAGACCACGTCTTTCCTTGTAGTTTGACGAACATGGGGAAAAGCTTTATTACCTGCCTACTGTTCCAAGCAGATACAGAGAGTGGGACAAGGCCACCAGGCATGTGGAGGAAAAAAAATGCCCCATTTTGTCTGTTTGGACCGTGGAGATGAGATAAAGGTCATTAGGAAAGGCTCCGTTTTTCTCACAACACAAACACAAATGACAAAACCAGATAATAGAAATATTACAGCCAAGTTGGCTTATTTTATTCTGTGTTTCTTCCTTGCATCTTGCTTGGCTCCACTATCTATATCAAATGGAGAGGTAGAATCACAGCCTGTTGGTTATGGTCACAAGGTCGTGTCAGCTAGAGTTGATCCCTCTGTAAATGTTTTGACAGCTGATCTTCAACTCATCAAGAATTCCTCTACTTTTGGTCCTGACATTCAGAACCTCAACTTTATTGCCAGGTAACTTGGTTCAATACTCATTCCTAATTTTTACTTAAAAAAAAATGTTATAGCTAGTGCGTTTAAGAATAGTTATCCCATCCGGTTCGATGTTTGACCCGACCCTAAATCAAGCCTTGCAGGTTGGTCAAGTTAATCTATGGATTGATGGGGCCGGTTGGGATTTATTTCAAACAATATTGTTTAAGTTTTTTTTTTTTTAATTGACATCATTTTAGACAAGATTTTAAGAAAATCTTTGAATTTGACATGTCCGTATCTCACCTGAATTTAGCTAAGTCAGATGAGTTACAAGTTGATCAACTTGATCACTCAGATTTAACTAGAGCAAACATGGCTTGAGCCAAGCTCTGAGTTAATTAACTAATCAAACCAGGTTTGATAACTATGGATTGTTCTTCAATTACTACTTGAGATCTCTAACTTATCTAGAATTGATCAATAAGAATGCCTTCGCTGCAGCTTTGACACGAAAGATCGTTTGAGAATTCGGATAGCAGATGCCAACAAGCAAAGATGGGAAATCCCTCAAGACATAATTCCGCGCCCAAAACATAACCTCAGCTTTGGACAAAACCATGTCCAGTCCTCATCGGCAAACTACATTCTTTCAGACCCCAATTCTGACCTCTTCTTCACCCTTCACAACGCCACACCATTTGGCTTCTCCTTGTCCCGGCATTACTCCGGAGATGTCCTTTTCGATGCGGCTCCGAACACATCCGATTCTGAAACCTTTTTTGTTTTCAAGGACCAATATATCCAGCTTTCCTTTTCACTCCCAAAAGACAGGTCTTCTCTTTATGGCCTCGGAGAGCGTACAAAGAAGTCCTTTAAGTTGGAACCTGAGAAGACACCACTCACTTTGTGGAATGCTGACTTTGCTAGTGCTGTTCCTGATGTTAACCTTTATGGATCCCATCCCTTTTACGTTGATGTGAGATCAGAATCTCTTGACGGTAAAGTTATAGCAGGGACTACTCATGGTGTTTTGCTGCTTAATAGTAATGGAATGGACATAATTTATGAAGGTGATAGGATCACTTATAAGGTAATTGGTGGAGTAATTGATTTGTACATTTTCGCCGGGCCTTTGCCTGAGTTAGTAGTACAGCAGTATACCGAACTCATTGGCCGGCCTGCTCCTATGCCATATTGGTCCTTTGGTAAGTACAGGCTTGCAGCCACTATTTTCTTGCTTCACATCATTAGATTTTCTTTTCTTGCTTGCCCCATATGATTGATTTTCCTGTGCGAAGGATTTCATCAGTGTCGATGGGGTTACAAAAATGTTTCTGATGTTGAAGGAGTGGTCGCTGGCTATGCAAAAGCCGGTATCCCTCTTGAAGTTATGTGGACAGACATTGATTATATGGATGGATTTAAGGATTTCACTCTTGATCCTGTGAACTTCCCATTGGAAAAGATGAAGAAATTCACCGACACCCTTCACCAAAATGGTCAGAAATATGTGCTCATCTTGGATCCTGGTATGTGGCAACTTGAAGAAAGAAAAAGTTCCATTTATCTGAAACTCCTCTAGTTCTTACACGGCTGCTGGGATGAAAGGGTTAAATTGAATTCTTACAGAGCCAAACTGCCTCTGACCTTTGCAGGTATCAGTGTGAACACAACATATGGAACTTATATCAGAGGGATGAAGGCTGATGTTTTCATCAGACATGATGGCATTCCTTATATGGGAGAGGTTTGGCCTGGATCAGTCTACTTCCCTGATTTTCTTAATGAAGCTGGCAGAGAGTTTTGGAGCAGTGAGATCAAATTGTTCCATGAACTTCTGCCATTTGATGGTCTGTGGCTAGATATGAATGAGATATCCAATTTCATAACTCCATCTCCTGCGGAATTCTCTAAGCTAGACGATCCTCCATACAAGATTAACAATGCTGCTGTTCAACGACCTATTAATAACAAAACCATTCCTGCAACCTCTCTACACAATGGAGACATTGTAGAGTATAATGCGCATAATCTTTATGGCCTATCAGAATCCAAAGCCACAAATGCAGCTCTAATCAATGTGACTGGTAAAAGGCCTTTCATACTTTCAAGATCAACTTTTGTTGGCTCTGGTAAGTACACAGCACATTGGACTGGAGACAATGCTGCCACATGGGATGACTTGGCATACACCATTCCTTCGATTTTGAATTTTGGGCTGTTCGGTATACCAATGGTTGGTTCTGACATATGTGGTTTCTCTAGGAACACAACTGAAGAGCTTTGTCGACGTTGGATTCAGGTGAAATTATTGCTCGTGGCTGGAAATTGCACTGTTGTTTAACACTTCTGCCTTTGTTTAATTAGTTTTCAAATGTGGTTGCCATGCAGCTCGGTGCCTTTTATCCCTTTGCAAGAGATCACTCAGCAATAGACTCAACACGGCAAGAGCTTTATTTGTGGGATTCTGTTGCAGCAGCAGCCAAGAAGGTGCTCGGTCTCCGGTACCAATTACTTCCCTACTTCTACACGTTAATGTATGAGGCACACATGAAAGGAACCCCAATAGCAAGACCTCTTTTCTTCTCATTCCCTCAAGACATCAAAACTTACGGAATCAACTCGCAATTTCTAGTGGGCAAAGGAGTTATGGTATCACCTGTACTAAACTCAGGAGCAGTGTCAGTTGATGCATACTTCCCCGCAGGAAAGTGGTTTGACCTTTTCAACCACACCAATTCAGTTACTGCAGATTCAGGAAAGTACATCACGCTTGATGCTCCGGCAGATCATATAAACGTTCATGTTCGCGAAGGAAACATCTTGACCTTGCAAGGTGAAGCCATGACAACTAAAGAAGCTCGAAGAACAGCATTCCATCTACTAGTAGTTCTTAGCAGCAATGAAAACAGCACAGGGGAGGTTTTCTTAGATGACGGGGAGAGCGTGGAGATGGGAGGGGAGGGAAAGAATTGGAGCTTAGTGAGATTTTACGGTGGAATAGTGGGAGATATGGCTATGGTTAGATCAATCATCATAAATGGAGAATATGCTTTGAGCCAAGAATGGATTGTAAGCAAAGTAACATTCATCGGATTGGAAAAGACCAAGGGGTTCAAGTGGTATGAGCTGCAGACTCCCAAGGAAACAAAGAGTGGAAATTCAGGTACAGTAGCAAGCTTCAATAGCAATGGAGAACTTGGCATGCTAGAGATGTCAGATTTTTCTCTGTCACTTGGAGAGGAGTTCAAGTTAGAGGTGAAATTAAGCATTTAAGCATTGCCATATCACTTTTGCCAGCAGTTTATAGTAATAAATCAAGCGACTCAAGACTACTATCCTTGGAATTCATACGGTAAATGACAGAACGATGCCTCTGTAAACTTCAACAACCAAATCATCTGGACATTGATCTGCAGAAATGGTCGTCTCCGTGTTCAACAGTTTTGAGAGGAAGTCTCGGTTGTTGAAAGCAAAGC